GTCTCGTTCTTTTCCTTTATTTTCCTTTTGATGATTCAGAAATCAGAAAAAATCAAACAAAAAAGGAAAAATCTGTTTCCAAGAAACAAATTAGGCAGTTTGTTCTTTTTTTTGTTTAGTTAATACTATTTTCTAAGTTGTTTTTCTCTGTCTATTCGCTTAAAACTTAATAACGGAAAGAAATTGTAAAATGCCTTTGCTAGAAAATATGCATTTTGTTGGATGAATGTAGAACGTTGAAGTAGACGATGAAAAAAACATGTGCAAAGGAAAAAGTTTTCCTTTTTTTAGTTCAAAATTATGTTGTAAGATTTTGCTACGGTCTGCAATTCTAAAAAGAGAAAAAGTTAAAAAGAGGAGTGTTTAAAATATTTATTGTTAATTAAGCAAAATATAAATAGTTTAGAAATCACTTATAACTGTTCAAAGAAAACGTATATTAATATATTGTAATGCTGCTTTTAGATTTACCAGAGAAGCATATGGGTTTCAAACAAGTGATTTATTTGTTGTATTACCGCGTAGATCGTTGGAATTTGACACACAATATACAGCTTATTTTGATACCGAACAATAGTCGGCATATATATAAAAGGCCATCAGCAATCTTCAGTCATTTCAATAAACCCAATATTAATATCAATAAAATTTATCAAAACAGCACATTCAGTAACTGTTTAGGTTTTGGGAAACTCACATGAGGTATCGTCATAATTTAAATTTGCTTAAAATATCTATGTTGTTTTAAATTTTCTTTCATACTATTTTCATTCACTCAAAATTAAGATTCCATGGCTCCATAGAATTAGCAAATGAAATAATTAATTAAACTTTTCTTTAGACTTTTAGTTTTTATTTAAGAAATTCCTTTTATATTTTAGTTTTTCAATTTAACACTTAATGTTTTAACTTCATTTCTTATTAAAGTTTTGCACAAACTGCTTTGAATTTTATTTGGTTTGCAGTTGGAAATTGCAGGCTATTTATTGTGTGGTGCAAACCTGTGTATTCAAGACAGCTTGTGAACAAAAGCGAACATGAAATCACACATAATGGAAGTACTTAAATAATGCATGTGTATGTATGGAAAGAAACCTATTGAAAAAGGAAATAGTTTTGAAAAAAATAAAGTATCGGTTTCTTAAGAGGGTTCAGTTCCAGTTCAGTTCAGTTCTAGTTCAGTTCTAGTTCAGTTCTAGTTCAGTTCTAGTTCAGTTCTAGTTCAGTTCTAGTTCAGTTCTAGTTCAGTTCTAGTTCAGTTCTAGTTCAGTTCTAGTTCAGTTCTAGTTCAGTTCTAGTTCAGTTCTAGTTCAGTTCTAGTTCAGTTCTAGTCTAGTTCTAGTTAGTTCTAGTTCAGTTCTAGTTCAGTTCTAGTTCAGTTCTAGTTCAGTTCTAGTTCAGTTCTAGTTCAGTTCTAGTTCAGTTCTAGTTCAGTTCTAGTTCAGTTCTAGTTCAGTTCTAGTTCAGTTCTAGTTCAGTTCTAGTTCAGTTCTAGTTCAGCTCTAGTTCAGTTCTAGTTCAGTTCTAGTTCAGTTCTAGTTCAGTTCTAGTTCAGTTCTAGTTCAGTTCTAGTTCAGTTCTAGTTCAGTTCTAGTTCAGTTCTAGTTCAGTTCTAGTTCAGTTCTAGTTCAGTTCTAGTTCAGTTCTAGTTCAGTTCTAGTTCAGTTCTAGTTCAGTTCTAGTTCAGTTCTAGTTCAGTTCTAGTTCAGTTCTAGTTCAGTTCTAGTTCAGTTCTAGTTCAGTTCTAGTTCAGTTCTAGTTCAGTTCTAGTTCAGTTTCTAGTTCAGTTCTAGTTCAGTTCTAGTTCAGTTCTAGTTCAGTTCTAGTTCAGTTCTAGTTCAGTTCTAGTTCAGTTTCTAGTTCAGTTCTAGTTCAGTTCTGTTCTAGTTCTGTTCTAGTTCTGTTCTAGTTCTGTTCTAGTTCTAGTTCTAGTATAGTCAGTTCTAGTTCAGTTCTAGTTCAGTTCTAGTTCAGTTCTAGTTCAGTTCTAGTTCAGTTCTAGTTCAGTTCTAGTTCAGTTCTAGTTCAGTTCTAGTTCAGTTCTAGTTCAGTTCTAGTTCAGTTCTAGTTCAGTTCTAGTTCAGTTCTAGTTCAGTTCTAGTTCAGTTCTAGTTCAGTTCTAGTTCAGTTCTAGTTCAGTTCTAGTTCAGTTCTAGTTCAGTTCTAGTTCAGTTCTGTTCTAGTTCTGTTCTAGTTCTGTTCTAGTTCTGTTCTAGTTCTGTTCTAGTTCTGTTCTAGTTCTGTTCTAGTTCTGTTCTAGTTCTGTTCTAGTTCTGTTCTAGTTCTGTTCTAGTTCTGTTCTAGTTCTGTTCTAGTTCTGTTCTAGTTCTGTTCTAGTTCTGTTCTAGTTCTGTTCTAGTTCTGCTCTAGTTCTGTTCTAGTTCTGTATTAGTTCTGTTCTAGTTCTGTTCTAGTTCTGTTCTAGTTCTGTTCTAGTTCTGTTCTAGTTCTGTTCTAGTTCTGTTCTAGTTCTGTTCTAGTTCTGTTCTAGTTCTGTTTTAGTTCTGTTCTAGTTCTGTTCTAGTTCTGTTCAAGTTTTGTTCTAGTTTATTTATTTCTAAGGATCTGCAATTCTATGTTTTTATTTTAGCTGCATTGCAAATGACTTCCAAAAAAAAAAAACAAATAAAAATATGTACATATGTATGTATGTCCTGGTAAAAAAAACCTCACAATGACTAAACCATTGTCCACGATAGTAGGTGGCCTTGCTTGCCCGCATGAGCATCTAAAGATTTTCATATTTGAAAGGTTGCAGTAGACTCATAAACAACATCACAGATACTCGAACGAATGAGTGATTGCATTTATCTGTAGGATGCATATAGAGGAGGTTGGTCGTATGTTTTGTGGTAGCAACTGTCTAAACGATTTACCTAAATAAAGTTGATGTTGTAGTAGAGTCTTGTGTGGCATAAATTTGACCAATGCTCTAGTGGTTTGTATTCCAACTGTTTTCAAATCAGCTTATGAAGTTTTGCTTGGGTGTACTAAGGGAGTTGGTTGTTTAGATTTGGTTTAGAATGAAGCAAATTCTTGAATTGAGTTTTTTAATTTTGTCGAGTGTTTAATTATTTATAAATGTTATTAAAAGGAAATTGAATTAAAGCAGGACACTTTCTTTGTGACTAGAGTAACTTATTTAAATATATCCATACCTATGAATACATATGATATTAAAAAACAACCCATTTATTACATGAATTTATTTAATTGTGTTCAAATTCTGAAAATTTGGCCAATCCCTCACATTCTAAAGCACCCCATTCACCACCACTTTTGAATATTTTATACATCTATTGCATATTTTAGAGTCTACTGGTACAAGCGAAAATATAAACCCTGATTGATAGTATTCCTCCACACAGATTAAATTTTTACTCCCTGTCAGTTCCCTCTGACAGAAAATTTAAAATTTATGAAAATCTTATTAAAAAATATAAATTATAGTTTTTTTTCATTCTAACTTTGTTCTAACTTTATTTTGATTACATGCAAAACGAATGTATTTCATTGCTGGTACATATTTGTTGCTTTTTTGCTACACTTGCCTTCAAACAACTCATGCATACTTTTGGTCCAAAAAAAAAACAACACAAATGTACCACGTTTTTCCAGCAGCGAAACGATGCAAAAAACTCAAAATATAAATAAAAGTTTAACAGAAATCACTGCAGAGGAAGTATCTGACAAACTGGAAACAGAAAACAGCACAAAAGACTAAAAACAGAAATAAAAGTTACAAGAACAAGTGATACAATGAAGTACAATTTCCACTAAAATTGTGAAAAACAACAGATGAAACTGAAAAACATTTATTCATTCGTTGCCTTTTTTTCAAAACTCTTAATACGAGTGTTGTACTGATAAACACAGCAACAGCAGAAAAAATTAAAAAAGAACGGAAAAACTTTTCAGATTTTTTTTTTATATTTTATCTTTCACTTTTCTGTAAATGAGCAAAATGTTGTAAAATGAATGAATAGAAAATTTTGCAATGTGAAAACGCTCAAGTTTCAAAAAGAAAAAACGAAAATAAACCAATTCAAATTGTTTAATGAATATTAGGGATGTTCATGGCAATTGTTTGCGCATTTAACCTGAACTAGAACTGAACTATCGTAGAACTGAACTAGAACGGAACTAGAACTGAACTAGAACTGAACTAGAACAGACTTGAACAGAACTAGAACAGAAATAGAACAGAACTAGAACAGAACTAGAACAGAACTAGAACAGAACTAGAACAGAACTAGAACAGAACTAGAACAGAACTAGAACAGAACTAGAACAGAACTAGAACAGAACTAGAAACAGAACTAGAACAGAACTAGAACAGAACTAGAACTGAACTGGAACTGAACTAGAACTGAACTAGAACAGAACTAGAACTGAACTAGAACTGAACTAGAACTGAACTAGAACGAACTAGAACTGAACTAGAACTGACTAGAACTAACTAGAACTGAACTAGAACTGAACTAGAACTGAACTAGAACTGAACTAGAACTGAACTAGAACTGAACTAGAACTGAACTAGAACTGAACTAGAACTGAACTAGAACTGAACTAGACTGAACTAGAACTGAACTAGAACTGAACTAGAACTGAACTAGAACTGAACTAGAACTGAACTAGAACTGAACTAGAACTGAACTAGAACCTGAACTAGAACTGAACTAGAACTGAACTAGAACTGAACTAGAACTGAACTAGAAACTGAACTAGAACTGAACTAGACTGAACTAGAACTGAACTAGAACTGAACTAGAACTGAACTAGAACTGAACTAGAACTGAACTAGAACTGAACTAGAACTGAACTAGAACTGAACTAGAACTGAACTAGAACTGAACTAGAACTGAACTAGAACTGAACTAGAACTGAACTAGAACTGAACTAGAACTGAACTAGAACTGAACTAGAACTGAACTAGAACTGAACTAGAACTGAACTAGAACTGAACTAGAACCTGAACTAGAACTGAACTAGAACTGAACTAGAACTGAACTAGAACTGAAGCTAGACTGAACTAGAACTGAACAGAACTGAACTAGAACTGAACTAGAACAGAACTAGAACAGAACTAGAACAGAACAGAACTAGAACAGAACTAGAACAGAACTAGAACAGAACTAGAACAGAACTAGAACAGAACAGAACTAGAACAGAACTAGAATAGAACTAGAACTGAACTAGAACAGAACAGAACAGAACTAGAACAGAACTAGAACAGAACAGAACTAGAACAGAACTAGAACAGAACTAGAACAGAACTAGAACAGAACTAGAACGAACAGAACTAGAACTGAACTAGAACAGAACTAGAAC